ACTAGAGGCACAGCATGGCCGCGTAGTGACGGCCCCGACCACTGCCGCTCGACCTGACCGGAGAAAACCGTAGCAGGAAGCTAGCGAAGTCGTAGTATATATCGTCAAATAGAACTGCCCGGTAAACCGTAGGCAGAGAGGGAGAAGAGATTATATTATATTTTTTTCATTTTTTTCAAAAAAATCTTATGAGAATTTTCAAATGTGCCTGTCTCAGCCAAAAAATTGTGCACAATGACGAGTTTTATTTTTATCATACGCAGTTTTTTTTTAACTCTACCTTTTTTTTGCATTCCTGCTTTCCTGTCCAGGCTTCGCCACCCCGCGGCGAGCGAATCGCAGAAGGCCTGCTACCCCGAAGTTAAACAAAGACCCATACAACCCCATTGTACACTCACTGGCATACCAAACGGGTTGCATAACAGCCCTGCTCCCCTGGGTTAGCTCTGGAAAGGCTCTCGAAAGAAGAGGTTCCAAGCCCTGAGAGGGACCTCACAAACTACTACGTCCCAACGGTTCTCCGCTGACAACCTGCCCTCCCCTCCCTCGGCACGAGGTTCTGAGGTGCCTGCAAAAGGGGGTGAGGGCAGAGACGGGAAGGGTCACAAAAGGCTCACTGCAAACCTAAGGTCTATCAGTAATGATTATCACATAAATGATGATTCACATCGCTGCAGTGTTCAAGACCCAACTCTGCGCTTCATTAAGTTTGAAACAGACACACACACACACACACACACACACACACACACACACACACAACATACATTGGTTTGTTTAACTTTGTTTCAAGTTTCATAAGAATCAAAACCTCATTTCCGACTTGGAAAGGGAGAAGGCACAACTTTCATGTGCTCTTGTCTGTAGAGGCACAGGCACATGAAAGGGAGAAGAGCAAGGAAGAGGATGAAACTTGAAACTCTGAACTTGAAACAAACCATGTCAACAATCCAACAACACAGAATGCGTCAACAACCCAACAACACAGACTCCGTTGAAAGAATTCAACAATCCAACAACACAGAATGCAATACGTTGAAAGCGGAAATGACAGAGAGGACATTATCAATCAAGGGATTCAAGGCCTTTCTCAAGTTTCAACATATTGAAAGTCGACGCCCACACACAGAGGCAACCCAGAAGCTTGGAAATCAAAATCTTAAGAGACTCAGTAGAGGATGAAGAAAACGCAAACGCAAACGCACGCGGCTTTAAATTTCACAGTCGGACCTCTAGAACCTGCTAACAGGACACTAACAGCACTTGAAAAGCTCACGACTGGAGCGATGATGCAAGGCCCTATCTCCGATAAAACTGAGTAGCGCACGCGGCGGCTCCCGCAGATACCACCGTGACACGTGCCTTGCCTGTGCGATATCGCGCCCCAGCAGTGGATCGGCGGCCATCATGAAAAGGCACCTGTGGTGTGAACAGCCAGCACCTAATATGCTTCACAAACACATGGTATAGAATCTATATATAGATAAGAGGAGCACACACACCAAATGATCGTTCACGGCGCCGTACCAAACTCGCAACGCTCAACGTTATTGTGCTCCAATGTTGTTCTAGACTTCTCGTACAATTAGTTCGGCAACTTGGCAATCATTCAAGTTACACGTCCTCCTCTACGCTGCTGCTACTTATACTCTACAGATTGTCAAGGAACAGACTGTGTCAAAAAGTACTTCGGAGTTCGAATCCCTCCTCCTCCTGCTGCTAATAACGATTAGCACTAGCATGAAGAACATGATGATCAGCTCCAGTCACGCACGATCAGACCTGAACCATGTGTTGTTCTCCATTCCCCATGTACTGTTTCACTCCACTCCCTATGCCAATTGATCCACTCCCTATGCCAGTTGATCAGGGGCATCAAATTGGCAGCAACTGCTCATTCATCTCCACTGCTAGACATATAGCTTATACTCCTTACCGAGCCCTGCGACTTCAGATCACCTTAAAAGTTTTCCCATTCTTTATTATGGCATTACTATGGGATAGACGGGGGCAACCCACACCCTTCAAATCGGCCTGATACAGGTCAAGACCCCGCACAGCTCCTGCATTCTCCTTCTCAGTGTAAAAAAAAAAAACAAAAACACGAGTAGCTCCTCCAAAATCCCCCAAATTCCATTCCCATGTATAAACCCTGTCCCCCTACCGGTAGCCAAAAAATGACATTCACAAAATTTCACATACAGAAAGTTCAGAAACCCATTTCACCTGAGGGCTGTCTCACTGGAAGTTAATTACTGCAATTTCGGACGACGCAGTACTCGACTGCCGTCTCCCAAACTCAAATTTGGGACAGTATACATTCTGCTACTCAGGGGAAAAAAAAAAAAACAGAGAACAGCAACTCCGCATTGCATTCCCCCCCTCGAATTGACCCTATCGACTGCCGTCTCCCAAGCTCAAATTTGGGACAGTATGCATTGTGCTACTCAGAAAAAAAAATAAAAAAAGAGCAGCAACTCCCAATTGCATTCCCCCCCCCTCTCTAATTGGCCCTATATCCATCGGAGGGTGCTCCAACAGTAGGCTTGGCAATGTTCATCACTCGCAAACCACCGTTCGACTGTGGCAATCTCCCACCACCCCGAACGTGGGTCCGAGTGTTGACATCACGAGATGAAGTACCTTCCAGGTAGGATTTAAAACTACTCTGAGAACTCGAAAAGGATCGATCAATCCTTTAAAGAGAAATCGCCTCGAGCCTCCCAAAGGCAGGGATCTCCACAGTGACACAAAATTCAGTACCGCCAACGATCTGACTTCGCAGATCGCCCACACGCTATCAGGGTGTTCAGCTGTACTGTGCGCTCTCAAACCGTAGTTAAGTGTCATACCAGCGAGCAGCTTTCACGCTCCCAGTCGACAGCAGAGGAGCATTACGTAATGGCCCATCAGAGGGAACCCCAATGATAAATCATCTCAGAGTCCGACTCCATTGCACAGACCCAGACCACTGCTATTATCCTCAAACAAAAGGGGTGTTGAATGCCATCTATGTGGCATTCGATTCAAACATCAACTGCCAGTCTAAAGCAGCAGACCAAATTGAATCATTAATGGCCAGCCTGACCCCAGTCATTACACAGTTTCTACTCCAAACGCTGCAAACCTACCCGGATGATGCACTTCAGTCATTACCAAGTTTCTACTCCAAACGCTGCAAACCTACCATGATACCAGGTTTCTCCAAAGAGGCGGCGTCATGCTCTGGCATTCATAATAATAGGGGTTCCTCGAAACCCCCTTCAAAGTTCACACCCTACTTGAAGTTCACTTTTTTTCACGTACGGGGACCCAGGGCCAGCTGTAATGACCACACGTTGTACTCGGGAACAGACAGGATGGTGGCAATATGTCCACCAGGTCCGGCCAGATGAGCCCAGGGCGCAGGCCTTTGGTAATTGTGAAGATGGCAGTCGTGTACTGTACACCTGCAGCGGTCCCAGGTGCCTGCTCTACTGAAACATCTGCCAGTGGCAGATGCATGCAGCATGCTGTAGCCTTTTCAACTCATTTCTCGACGAGCCCGCTGATCAAAATCCTCCCCCCCCCTCCTCCCCCCATGCTAAACCTGCACGATCAACTCCCCTACTGCTAACCCTGCACGCCAAACTCCCACCACACTAACCCCGCATTAAACTCCCATGATACTCTCTCTCCCTGCTCTGACACTCCTGCAAGGCTAACAGTTACCCTGCCAGTGCACTTATTAGGGCCTTCGGGAGCCGTCAGGCGTCCACTGTCCAGTAATTGCTAATATGACAATTATACAGTACACCTCTGGGAGGGAGTCCGAGGGTCTGCTATACGGAAACGTCTGGCAGATGCCCGCAGCATCCCGTGACCTGTTCGATTCAGTTCTGGATGTTGACCACCCTGATCAAAAAAAGCTTCCCGTGATGCTATAACTCTGCGCGCTAAACTCGCCGTGACGCTAACCCGGCGGGCTAAACTCCTGTGATGCTAACCCCCCTCCACACTAAACTCCCGTCTTGCTAACGCTACACTCAAACTATAGCACTGCTAATCCTGCGGTTATCTGGACCTTTTCACAGAGTCTGACATTCCTTGAATCCAAGTAAGGAAAAATTTAATGTGAAGAAGGCGTCAGTCCAAGCACCCATAGAGTAAACATGGGGTGATTTGTCCACCACCCTTTCCACCTGCCTGTGTGCTATTCCAGCTGATGCCATCTGCTGCCCCCAAATGCAATGCAGGGTCATACATCCTGTATTGGAAGAAATCTTCGGGTGAGATAGACATATGATGAACCGGAATTACTCGGTTTTCGGGAAGAGGGAAGCCTTGAGATCGCTGCTTGCAATGCTGACTCCGCAGCATGCACAGACTGACTTCTGTGTCTCAAGGAGAGAACACCTGCTTCTCCTCAGCTGCTGCTACCAGCCATTTCTTTGCTGCCCGCCGTAGCAGTTGCACGTCCCATTTCCCTGTCGACGATTCAAGCTCATCGTTCTCATCCGTAGAATCCTCTATTCTCAAACCTGCTGCTAGCTGTGCCACAGACACACGCTCCAGCTTTGGCACAGTCTCACGTCCCTCCTCCACTTCAAGTTCCTTCTCTGCTTCCCTCTCCGGTTCATTCTTCCCTCGTTCCCCACCCTCACATGCAACAGCCGCTGATTTGGGAGCTGTCATATTTCTTTCCGATTTGCTACCACCATCACTCACATCTATGGCAGTCGTGATTTTGTCGTCCTCCGCAGTGGACGTATCATGCGCACCCATCATGACGGCCCCTGATCTTGCCAGTTCACTACCCTCACTGCTCGGACTTCCCTCCCAGGCCACAGTACGCTCACCTGCAACCTGCTTCCCTTCTGCATTCCTAGCCTCTTCAGAAAGCAAAAGAAATTTACCATCCACATCCATATCAGTCTGCGAGTCAGCAGCCCCGCGCGTCAGGGGTTCAGATGCAGCATTCTCCACATCCTTGCGGCCATGAAGTTGGTCGGCCTTAATGGGCTCCTCTTCCCCCACTGGCAGGATATCTGACTTCGCCTCCCCTCCATCAACCGTGAGTTTCTCATTCGAATCTGCAAGTGGACTCGCATCAGACGATAACATATCCATGCTGCCTGCATCAACTTGCAAATTGATGTCCACCTTTGCAAACCCAACGACGTGCAATGTTTTTGAGCCCTCCGTTGGCCCCAAGGAGTCAAAAGTTACGGTTGCACGAATCGAGTCCAATGACTCACAACCCTCCATTTTCACATCTTGATGCCCCTTCATCATGCCTCCACTCATCACAAGAGTTGTGCCACCTTCATCTCCATCGCTCGTACCCTTCATCCCGGCGCTACCATCCTGGGATTCCTGGCCCATTCCCAAGGAACCTGAAATGTCCAGACTCTCTGTCATCCTGGCATTACCATCCTGGGATTCCTGGCCCATTCCCAAGGAATCTGAAATGTCCAGACTCTCCGATCGGTCCTCACATCCCGTGTCACTTGGCACGTTCAATGCCAGGACGGTCATGTCCTCATCCACTATACTTTCCCTCTCTTCCCTCGGAGTCTCACGTCCCTGCTTCTCCTCTTCAGGGCCTAGAGGCTGGGGAAGGTCCATTGCAACAGACTGCAAACTTGCTTCCCCCACGACTTGCCCTCGCTCTGTCCCTTCCTTCAGGTCATCCTTGCTCGACAACTCGTTAAGGACGACATCCCCCTTGCCTGCATCAGCATGATAACATTCCTCTCCCATTGCAATTTGATCTGCCACACCCTCGTCCGTGCTCCCAGGCTGGGGTAACCCCTGTTCTCCTGTGCTTTCCTGCAATTCCTCCTCTTGCCGCAATTGCTTTTCCCCACTCTCCGTCACATCATCTTCAGTCCCTTCTCCTCTAGCCGGTGCTTCGGAAACATGGTCACTCGTGTCCGTGACTCCTGAAGCAACAGAAAGACGATGGTCACTCGTGTCTGTGACTCCGGCCGCAGAATCCTGGCAAGTACCTGTTTGCATGTGACGCCCCATTGCATCGGATTCCTCCTCCTGCGGCAAACTTTCCGCAATCCCTTTCGCATCTTCAGCGCCCATCACTCCACCACTTGCCTCAGAAAGATGGCCGCTTTTGTCAGTTACTCCTGCATCCAAATCCTGACAGGTTTCTGCAACCGTACCTTTCTCATTCAAATCTGCATGTAGACACGCATCAGCTTGAGTGTCGATATGATCCCTCTTTGAGAACCCACCGACATAAAACGTTTTCGAACCCTCGGTTGGTTCCCTGAAGTCCGAAGTTTTTGGACCCCCAGTCGCACCAATCGATTCCAATGCCTCACAACCCTCCGTTTCCATATGCCCCGGCATCATGGCTCCAGCCAACGCAAAAGTTGTGCCACCTTCATCAGAGTTGCTGATGGTGCGGATAGGAACTTGAATTCCAACACTCGTACCATTCACCGTCCCGGTGTCACTACCATCCTGGCACATACCCAAAAATTCTGTCAGTGAGATTTCAAGACTCTCGGAGGATGGCTCCTTGTTTCCAGCACCACTTGGCACATTCGATGGCAGGACACTGAGGACAGACATGTCCTCTTCCGCTAAACTCTCCCCTTCTTCCCTTAGAGTTTGAAGTCCCTGCTTCTCCTCTTCAGGGCCAATAGGCTGGCGGAGGTCCACCACGGCAGATTGTGCTTTTTCCAAATGTCCTTCCCCCAACACTTGCCCGCCGTCTGTACCCTCCTCCCTGGTCGACACCTCGAGAGGAAAAACATCCTTTTCGCCTGCATCAGCAGATTCACTACGTTCTTCTCCCACTGCTATTTGATCCGCCACACCCTGTGTCTTGTCCCTGTTGGCAGGCAGGCTCAATCCCCCGGTGGATTCCTGCTCTTGTAGCAAGGTTTCCACGATCTCCTTCAAATCTTCGGTGCCCTCTCCTGTAGCCGGTGCTTCTGATAGGTGGTCGCTCGTGTCTGTGACTCCTGCAGCGACAGATAGATGGGCGGTCATGTCTGTGACTCCAGTAGCAGAACCCTCGCAAGCTCCTGACAGTGTTTGTATGTGACTCAGACGCATTGCATCCTCCTCCTGCGTCCCTTTCTCGACTTCCGCACCCTCATCTCGATCAATTGCCTTAGACAGATGGCTACTCGTGTCAGTTACTCCTGCAGCAAACTCCTGACACGTTTCCAGACATATGGAACGACCTACTGCATCCTCCTCTTGTGGCGAGCTCTTCACAACCTTGTTCAACAAATCTTCAGCACCCTCCTCCTCCAAGTCCCCATCAGGAGGTACTTCAGGAAGATGGGCACTACTGTCACAGACAGCGACAGCGACTCCTGGAACGACTGGCAGGCTCTCACACGTTCCACTTTGTGAGTGCTGAATTGCATGCTCCACATGCAAACCAAGAGGCTCCTGCACTTCCTTCATCATCTCGACCTCTTCTGGCAAAGCTTCAGACCCTTTGAAGGTATCCTGCTTTGCCTCCATAACCTCATTGCATGCCTCAGTCACTGTTACAGGAGGGGATGCCTCAGTTACTGTAGGGGATTCCTCAGTTACTGTAGGGGGGGATGCCTCAGTTACTGTAGGGGGGGATGCCTCAGTTACTGTAAGGCGGGATGCCTCAGTTACTGTAGGAAGGGATGCCTCAGTTACTGTAGG